GCTATCTTTTTTATCTTTGCCTGTCACTCTCTGTGGCTCCAAGCAGCTCCTCAACACTCTCACCACGTTCTCGCTTTCTTATACTTTTTCTTTTTAACCCTGTGTTATCTGCGCGCAGCAGAGTCCACACTAGTCCTGACTGTGAAACTGAGGTGGGTAAATGAAAACCATCATTAACTTAATAAAGTACACCTAGGCTTTTTCTTCTGTAACATGTGAAATGGACAGGAGCAGAAAAGATCCATTCAGATGTTAACTCCTTTCCTCCTGCGGGCACTAAGACCTCACCGCTTCATGCAGTGGTCTCAAAAAACAATGCGAGCTGGAACAGTTTGTGTAGTTGTTGGGAAATAATTGTGGCTGCAAATATAATTTTACTTTCAGGGGAATGTTGAACTTTAGGATCTCTGAACAGCCAACAACTTGGCCTACGCACTATATTTTTACAACACGGTGGAGAGGGTATGGGTATTGATGTGAAACCTTTACTCTGTTATAAAGAATACAAGGTGGCTTTAAATACAGACTGTATTCTTTATTTAATAATGCAGAGACAGACAGGAACACCCATTAAAATTGATTAAATGTCAAAAATACCACAGTAGGAGAAGAAACAATAAATCTGATAAATATTTCTCCCCTTCTTAAGCTTGAAGTTGTTGCATTTACAACCTCCAAACAGCTGAATAAAGCTGGTCTTGGACCAAAGTAAAGAAAACCATGTTTAAGATCAAAGCATTCCTGTGTCAGGGTCGGATTTTTGATTAAACTTTGTTTTTTTATTTATTGACTTCATTTTTTATTTGTTGTGATTGTTTTATTTACTGGCTTTTTTGTTTATCTCTCCATTCTTTTTGTTTTATTGCACTTTGTATGTTTTGTCTTTTTGATTGCACAACTGTTCTTGTTCTGGCTGTGTGTGTGTGTGTGTGTGTGTGTGTGCGTGTGCATGTGCGTGTGTGTGTGTTTGGAATTAGTTGGATGCTTGTGTTTGTGCTTGAGTTCCCTTGTTGTTTAATACCAAAGGAGCACTGGCTCTGGATCTCTCTGTCAAGTATTTCAGAGGAGTTTATATCCACAGAGAGAAAAAATGCTGTTTTACTGACAATGATGCCTCTTCACTTCCAGTAACTCCCCTCACAGGCCCCTGAAACTGAAGCCACTCACATGAACCCCATGTTATAGCCAAAAAAACCTTCATACGGATCACAGATTTCTCATAAACTGTGAACTTAGTTGTTTTTTCCTCGGCCATCTGTGTCCACTCAGGATCCCTATGTATTTTCCATCTGCTCATTTCCCAATTCTCTATTGTTACAGTACGCGCAGTACAGACACTCATACACATTTCTTAAGATCAAACACTGAGATTTCATAATCATCTTTTTGTCATTCTTTCACTTAGCCTGCAGGGCCTCTATCGCAGCCAGCTGTTATTCCTCCACTGCTGCTGCTGTGGTATCAGTCTCTGTTGTAGAGTTGGCCTGCTGTGGCTCTGCTCTGTCCATACAGCCTGATTTATGGGGACTGGAGTGCTTTTGGCTTAACATAGGGGGTCCTATGTGCGTCTGAGGGTATGACAACGATGTCTTGTTTCTTTGGCTTTTTTGGCACCGTGTCTTCGTGTATTTGTGTGTCCACCACACCTTCCTCTGTGACACAGTATCCTCTTCTCCCTTTCTGCTTTAATCTGTTGTGCTTTCCATCTCAACATGTCCGTCCGTCTCTTTCTGAACCTCCACACCCATACTGCAGCCATTTACTATATTGCCTCCGTCCCCTTGTTTTTAAGCTGATGGAATTCTCTCTCCCTCCCTCTCTCTCTCTCTATCTCTCTCTCTCTTTGTTTTTTGCTGACTGCATCTGTTTTTCCAGACTTGAGTTGGTCATTCATAGCCTCCCCTTCCTCTCTCTCTCTCTCTCTCTCTCTCTCTCTCTCTCTCTCTCTCTCTCCCTCCCTGTCTCTCTCTCACTCCACGCTCTTGTCTTCCTCCTCATATATCATTCCATCTCTCCCGCCAGTCTGCCAGCTGACTCACTTACAGTCAAGTGCGGTGGAAGGAAAATGAGCAGAGAGCTTTTGCAAGGGCAAGTAAGAAGTCTCTCACAGATGAATGGGTTTGAGTATAGGCCCGGCCAGTAGGTATGAAGGAGTGACAGCTCAGGTAAATGTCTCCTCACAAATAGGTTTATACTACAGAGGTGAGGGAGGTGGATTGACTCTCCTGTGTGGGTTTCTTTGACGTGAAACTCTGGCTATGAGGAGGTGAAAAAATCGGAAAGGAGAGACAGGAGAGACATTATCTCTATTGATCAGTCTGAGTGAGACTTCCTACAAGCTGAATGCGATTTTTCCTCCACCGTCCACTTGCAGCTGCCTTCTGAATATTACAGTGTTAGGCTTTTGTTTTAATAGCTTGGCCTGAACAGAGAAGCTGACTCAGACAGTAGTCAGGTTGAGAATCACATTGACTATTAAATCCTAATAACTTCCTGTTGATAAAGTAAGATGCAGTTTTCTCATGGTAAAAAATCCCTTTATGTTTCAATATTTGTTTGTCTTTGCTCTTCTTTTCCCCTTGACTCCAGATTAATTTAGCACTGTCATGTCCATCCCATCTTCCCTCTCCCCGTGTTTGTCTCCACTCCTGGCGTCCGTCCAGCCACAGTTTTGACCTTGAACCCTCATCCTTTCTCCAGACATCCCGTCCCTCCTGAGGATAATGGCGGAGATTCTCACCTATCTAAACTGGCGTCATCAATCATTTTTCCCATGCTGTCTGCTCCTGTGGCAGCTTTTGTCTGCATGCCTGGCAGATCCTCGGGCACCAGCGGCAGATGGGCACGCTGGCACCGTCAAGTTGGAGAGGCACAAAGAAAAACTACAGCAGCTCAGTGGGAATGGGGGTTTTTCTGACTGGACATGGTGCAACCCCAGTTACCTGAGCTATTCTGAGACCTTTATGTTCAGTAAACAAGTGTGGGATGAGTGTGAGAAATGTTTGTTTCTCATCACAGGCTTTCTTTGTCTTTCTTTCTCTTCTCTTATTTCAGCAACAGAACAAAAATCATCTGTATTCAGTATCTGTGCATTTGGAGGGGTGAGCATTGATCAATCTACAACAGAGTGAGTATCATGCAATTTAACAAAAACAGTATTGTATAAGTTAATGATACCGTAAGATGATTAAAATAAAGATAAATAATTGGAGTCTACAGCCATGCAAGGAGCGCTACGAGGCTGTGCTTAGATACAGTCGTGCACTGTGCTAACACACTCACAGTGGCCATGCTGATGGTAAGTAGGTGAAGCGTTTACCATCTTAGTTTAGCATATTAGCATGCTAACATCGGCTAATTGGCACTAAACACAAGGTACAGCAGAGCTGGGTGGGAATGTCATCAGTGTTACAGGAATTAGGTCATACAGCAAAGTATTCAACAGATGATGATGATGATGATGATGATGATGATGATGATGATGATGGTGGTACTTGTTAAAGAATCACCAAAGTTACAATTCATCCTGAGGGGAACTGTGCCAAATTTGATGGGAATCAGAAATGTCATGCCAAGGTCAGTAAGCTTCATCCTCTGGGGACCATGAACTATTTCATGGATATACATCCAGTAGTTGTAGATATTTCAGTGTGTGCAGGAATGCAGAATAAAAGCAGCCATGTAGTCACAACAACTACAGTATAAACTCAAAGCACGGTTCGTATTTATTGTATTTTGCAGTGTTTTCTTGTTCAGAGGCTTGCAGACAAATACATTTTATAGAATAAAAAGATAAGAAAAAAGTGATCTTGAAACAGAACAAGAGGTTAAGTGTTTAACAGTCTGCAAGCGACAATGGGAAAATCTCTCCACTTTGGATTTAACTGGGTGTGTAGAATTGAGAGAAATAATTTTTCAGAGGATCTAAAGGGTTTTGGGAATAGGGGACTGAGGAGGTTTAAACAATAAACTGGTGCCAATGTATGCAGGGATTTATCAGCAAATAAAAGAAGATTCAGTTTTGTATTTCTGGATTTTGGATGAGCTGGAGGGAAAACGGGACTGACTGACTGACTGACACAGAAAGAAACAGTAATCACGATGCAACATACAAAAAAGAAAATATGTCTGTCATCGTGTGAGGGAACATAGTCGCCCAATGACATTTAACAATTGCGTTATCATGTCAGAGCAACAAACACTGCCAGACAACCCCTGGATTAGCCAGGCCTTTATTACCCTGAAATCAGAACATCTCTGCAACCCCTCCGCCCCCCAGACTCAGATAAGAGACGGCAGTAATTCCTGACACATTTTTATTCACCAACATTACGTAACATTCATCCTAGTCAGGCCTTTGATTACACTATAATGGACCTGAGCTCAGGCGATGCCTTTGTGGTAGAATAAATGAAAGGAGTTTATGAAAGTTGAGCCTGGTAGAACATACAGAGTACTAACACAAAACCTCATTCGCCCATTATTTCACCTTTGTAGTCTATTATCTTCTGAATTGGTGCAGGAGGAGAAGGGAGAGAAATTGCTCAAGGGCCGTAGGGTATGTGCTCTATGCAAATGAACAGTATGCATTAACATGCTTGGCACTGCTTGGCTGAATGTAAGCGCAGTAATAAGAGCAGCTGGACCTACAAATCCAGACTGTATACAGGGAGGAAGAAGAGGACAGAGGGAATAGATAGAGGACAGGAAGGAGGAGAGAAGAGGAGGTGGGGTGGGGTGGGGTGAGCGGGCAGACTCGGGCCGGTGGGGAGGTGTGGAGGGTCTGGGTACAATAAAGGAATGGCCAGAATCCACAGAGATGGAGGTGAAGGGAGAGCGAGGGAGGGAACAGACTAGGACAGAGGGAGGCAGGCAGAGTAGAAGGGTGATGTCACCTCTAACAGGCAGCCAATGAGAGTCAGGGAGGGTGGAGAGAGAGCGGCCGAAGGAGGGTGTGTTTTTCTATCACTGCAGCATCAGCAGAGAGGAGAGGGGCACAATCAATTTCACAGAGCAGAAGAAGAAAAGGCACAAGTAGATAAGGAAGAGAGGGGGAAAGGACGCAAGGAGTTGCCAGAGGAAAGGAGCACCACTGTGGAGGTAAGAGGCTCTATTTGTGATGAGATGAACAGTTTGTCATTAAACGGAAAGAGAGTGGGAGAGAGAGCTGGTGAGCGGACTAATTAGGCTCTTAGGTGGAGGTGGCTTGTTATGGAATCGCACCTTCGCTTCATGTTTTACTGGCAGTAAAAGGTGAAAGTCTGGTTCATGTAATTCACTTTAACAGGTTCTTATTTAAATGTCTTAATTTATCTTACTGCTATCAGCTGTGTTGATGTTCAGGAAAACTATATCATTACGGCTATTTCAACACTCTTAATTGAAAAATAATAATTAGACAAATGTGAAAAAATGTTGAAAGACGTCTTTCTTTCAGCGTTAAGTCTTGTAGCTCTGTATTACTTTTTACAGTTAAATGAATACTAAAAGAAGTATTAAAGCCAGGTGTCATGGATAACCTGTTGGTGCAGAATACTTTCAGAGAAAAGGTTTTTTCTTTTGTTTCTGTTTTTTTTTTTATCTTTCTGATTGAACGTTCAGTGCATTGCATGCAACAGGGTGTCCTCCGACATTAATATTGAATATGCAGCAGGGCTGTGTGCCATTATACTTATATCACTGAAGACTTTACTGGTCATTATTACCGTATAACACTGCCTTATCTTTTTTTATTACCTAATATGTTCAAAGTTGGGATTTTGCGTTTTTACCAAAGTAGATGCAATAACGATTCATGTATTTTCTAAATTAATTGAACTGCACTTACTATACGTTTATAGCAAAAAGGCTTTCTTTACAGTATCCTACCAAATATGAAAATCATATAATGCAAATACTCTAGATGTGTTGCTTTGCAAGTCATGTTGCATTGTGCATTTTCTGCAATCTGAGGGTAATTTCTCAGGCTAATTCTTTGCTTTGCATTGCCTCTCCTTCAGCCTTGCTACTTTAATATGAATATTCGTTTTCTCTACACATTCCCCTCCCCCAGCTAATAGCTGAGTAGCTTAACGTTCAGTACAGACCGTGATTGCAATGTGCTGTTACGATTTTCATTGATGTGAGGGTTGAAACTCAGCTGTATGGTGAACAGCACAGCAGAAAAGACTACAACAATTTTCTCGTCTATCTTATCTCATGCAGCTCCAGTGAGTCTGTTTTGCCTTGGCAATGACAGAGCTGGTTAACCTTAAACTACACACCTTGGAGGGAAGAAAGAGAAGAAGGAATATAAAAAAAAAAAAAAAAAAAGCTTGTAGAAGGAAAGAGAGAAAGAAAGATTCAGATATCAACAGGAGAAAGAGCGTGAGAGAGATGTATATACGGAGCGAGATATCAGGGGAAGTGAAAATAAGGGTGGGGCAGTGCACACAGCAGACTGTGGAGGTGTGCCCATGAAAAGGAGGCCCTCACCTGGCTGTATGCCACACAGCTGGCTACTGTCACCCTCTGCAGCCTATTACACATCTGTTGTACCCAGTGGCAGAAAACAGACAATATTTCACCCACCAGTTGTGTTAATGATGTAGAAATCTGTATTGCCAGAAGCAGCTGCTAAAGGCTGTGAGCTTGTTTCTTCCGTTTGTTGTTGATGTATGTCTGTGGTGTTTTGTTGGTAAGAACATCTTTGTGCGCACAGATATGACTAGACTCTCAAAAATATGACTACATGTACAAAGATACATATGTGTGGGTTTGTGCATATCTTTGTGTGTTTGTGTGTGTGTGTGTGTGCTAGCGGTGTAGTGAACCTGCTCTCTCTCTCTCCTTCCCTCCCTCCCTCCATGCCTCAGTAGCCTGCAGCTTGTCCCAGATGAACCCAGTCAAGGGACTGGAGGGTAGGGAAGGCGTTGTGCCTGACAATGACTTGTTACCATCTGTACAACATCCATAAACATACTGCACTGTGCACATTCGCACAACAGATCACGATATAGCTGCTGCTGAAGAGGGCGTGTTGGGGTGAATGGTGTGTGTGTGTGCGTGCGTGCGTGCGTGCGTGCGTGCGTGCGTGCGTGTGTGTGTGTGTGTGGAGAATATCTTCTCCATAGCAGCAATGCTCCAGAGACCCACTGCTGGTCACATTATCATACTATTTAATGCAGTGAGGTTTGTGTGGCCGTGGCAGCCGGGTTTCTTGACGGAGCTGGGAGCTGCTGGTGTAGCAGCGATGTTGTTGTCAGAGTAGCTGGCTAGACTTGGGAGTGTATGATTACCCTCGCTACAGTATGCTGCAGAATGTAATCTCCCCTCTGACGCGGGCCGGTTAATTGAGCTGTTCCATCAAAGAGATGGATGGAAAGCAGGATTTATGTGAGGAGAGAGGGACAGATCTGCAATGAAAAGAGAGAGAAAAGGCAGGGGAGGATGGTGTAAGCAACATAAAAAAAGATAAAGGAGAAGGACAAGAAGATGGACTTCCTTTTGAAAGGCAAAGCGCTTTGCATCTTTTAATGCTTGTTCTCTGCTATAGGTGTTGGAAGGGAGTAGAGGGAGCGAAGGAGGGATCAGTTAGGATATAAAAAAGGGCAAGGTCACAAGGGAGGATGAGCTGTAGGAAAAGAAAGAAGGAAAAGAAAAGAATGAAAGGCGAAAAGATTAAAAGGAGGATTTCTAAACATTCTACTCACAGATAGTAAGTCTGATTACAATTGAAGAAGATTAAAAGAGTAAAGCCCTTCAATGTATGGTCAGATATTCATGCTTTTGCTGTATTCATTTTTCTGAAATGATAATGTCAGAGACTGGACTGGTTCCAAATGCCTTTAGTCCTGCAGTTGAAGTGGAGAGCTGGTGTTGTGTAGGAGGAGAGGAATGATCTCTCTGCTCTCAATCTGCCAGTTAGGAGCAACTCCAGGGAAGAGCAGTGCTGCACTGGCCCTACGCTCCTCAGCCACCTGTTAAAGCCTCAGGGCACCTTTGCCAGTCATCCTGCTCACCAAACACACACAAACACACACACACACGCACACACATAAACGCATCTGTACACGCTCAACTTCTGCGACACACGCAAACAAACACTCTGCAAATACACACTGCAGCGATCCTGTTGCAGTGCGCCAAATTAAAGATTCCCTGTTGCCTTCTTGGCCTGATTACTTAAGCGTCTGCTACTGATCAAAGACCGCACACCGCACTTTCTGGGGATTCAGCCATTAAAGCAGAGACAGGGTAAAATAAGGGTTAAGAGAGGGAACTATCTCTTAGACTGAAGTGTCAACAATGACTGTTTCATCTCTGCTTTCTTTTGTATCCTCCTTTGAGAAAAAAAGTTGTAAAGTTACAAACACACAAGCTCAGATTCAAAGGCTTGTGAGTGAACCCCCTTGAGTTATCCTCAAGCGTGTGTGCATTTTTTCCATGCCTTGCACGCGTGTGCGCGCACTTGCATCTGCACCTTCAGGATGCTGTCAAGATGGAGCGCCCCCCCCCCCACACCCCCCACCCCACCTCACCCCTCCCTGGTTGCAGCTCGGAGGCTGTTTGATTTAGACTGTGCAGATGGGAGTCAGCCCACTGAGTGTCAAGTGGGGGATCGTGTAGACATGCTGTCAGGGTTTGGTGGAGAATACATTGTGGTGATTTAGGGAGCTAAGGGTCAGATGGATTGACAGGCCAGCCACGGGTAAATGATTATAGAGAACCGAGGAGGAGGGAAGGAATCCAGCAAAAGAGGAGAATGAAATTTGCAGAGGTGAAGACAGCGGGATGGTATGGAGATGGCAGAAAGATAAAGGCTGTTATGGAAGATGAGACAAAATGGAAGAGGATTATTGTGGCAATTTCTCTGAACCACCTTGTTCCAGTCGTCCCTTTAGAGTCCTGCTCTCTCTTCTTAAGACAGCCAGAACAAACCTTTCAACCTAGGTAATCCATTTTCCTTTACTGCCTCTGTCTCGCTTTCTTTTCCCGCCATGCAGTTCTTTGGTTTCACTTGTCCTATCAGTATTCCTGCAGTGGTTGACAGAGAAGCCAACATCGAGGTCTTAATCAAAATAATGACTCAGGTTCCTATTAGCTTTCCCAGAAAGAGGCTCTCAGACAAAGACTCATAAATCCAACCCCATTATACAATTGAACCTGTGATGCAGACTGGGGCACAAACAGAGGCGTCATGTATGGAAATGAATTTAATTGGGCAGAGTGAATTACCTTATTACAGCTTTCAGAAGTGATGGTATGAGAGAGGAGAAATTGTAGAATTCCCCAGAGTAACAAATATGATATTGGTGGCTAGAATAACACAAGTGGAGCCGCATAGAGGATATTTGAAACCAGGTGAGAAATGAATTACTGCCAAACCAATAACGAAACCAGAGGCTTCAGATATTCTCGAAAAATATAGTAAAATTAGGAAATTATGATGCAATTTTTTTTTTTTTTTTAAATTTTATGAATAAAACCTCTTCATTGCACTCTGTTTAAAATAAAGAACCAGACAGGAAAGCAATAAAGCCACACATAGGATTCCATATAAATTAGGGGAGATATTAAAGTCCATGTGTGACCTTCTCTTTGCCTCTTTAATGCTGTCCCCATCTTATTTTTTCTGTCTGGCAAAATTATTTCTTTGTCTCAGCAACACAGAGAATTCCCCTCAGCGTCACCCCTTCTGGACCCCAGTCAGCTCTGTCAAAGAAGCTTTATTGTCCACATCAGTGAATATAATTGGACTAAATTGACCCTCTGTCTAGTGTGTTTCCCAACTGCATGTATCTGTCGCTATAGTGTTCTGTGGATCGTCAAAGACGCTTCTCTCTGCATTTTGCGTGCGTGCATGAACAGAGGGCCTTGTGAACGAATGAATTATAACCTAGCCCACATGAATTAACAGTGTTGTTTCATTTGTGAAAGATAATGTCAAGTGTGTGATGGCAGTGTTGTTGAGATATAGTAAGTAAGTTTGTAAGTTTAATGGCTTCTGGGTAAAAATAGCTTTGAAATAAGGTTTTGTACTACCTTTTCCGCTTCAAAGAAAGTTGTAGTTGTTTTATTTTGCCTTTCATTCTTCTCACCATGAAATCCTTGGTAGTTGT